TCAACCAAAAAAAAGAAATATATATATTATGATTCGTTAACGTTTTATTAATCGATCAGCTAAAAAATTAGTATCAACTTCGCAACGTTAAACAATAATCCGAAAGATAAAACATTTAAACGAGATAAAAAGAAAGAAATTAGTAGTAGTTTTATTGACGACAAAAAAAAAGTAGTAGTCTTATTTCCCTAATATAGTAAATGGGTAGGTACTAGGTATTTGGTACAGAGAGTTGAGAGAATAATAATTGAAAGAATATGGGCTTGGAAAAGTTGAATACAAATTCTTTAGTTAATCGGACGGCTAATACGAGCCGTCAAGGTTGACCATTTTCACTACGTGCCGACACATCGGCCTTACACCTGGCCCATCCTTACCTCTCCCACTTCCTTGTGACTCTTTTCCACGCGCCTCTTCTATACAGCAATTGCTTCTCCTTAATTTCCCGTGTCTATTCCCCTAATATCTTTTTTTTTTAAAATATATATATATATATATCTATTTGCGTCTTCATATAACTATTAGTATATGTATATATGTCAAACCTGAAACAAAATTCACATTTTTCCATTAAATTTTTATTTTTAAAACACTTAATTAGCCATTCTCTGAAGAAATGTTTTTAATTTGTTCATGAATTCTTATTATTTTTACATCTGTGGGATTTGAATAAATCATAAACTGTTATTTATTCTTCCAAACTAATCAATATAAAACATTTATGATCGGACTCCTATTGAGCCATTGAATATAAATCACCAACTGCTATTCTATACTTATTCATGTAATTTGTTTTTGTTATGTCAATTACATCATAAGAAATCATTATTAAACATACGAGAGTCTGACTAACCAAACACGTAATTTTAGGCAATAAGTGCTCGATCTTTAAATTATTTTATTGTAAGAAGTAAACATCAACATCTACTACTTTCCTATCACCAAATTTCAATCTACCCGATTTCAAAAATAATAAGCCCAGTAGTTTAATTGTGCCTAACTTGAAAATGTTTAAATTGAATAGATGCATTACTTAATACTCCATACGCTTTTCGTACAAAATTTTCATTTTGATGGAGATAAGCATGCATAATTTCATAAATAGTCAACAAAAAAAAAATCATAAATAGTCAAGCTTTATTTATATCGGCATTAATATTAATGTCGAAACTCGACCGTCCCCGTTGATGACATGACCACCTTACGCGATATGTATGATGAGCCGATTACTTTAATATTCCCCATTTGTCAACCGTATGGAAACCGTAGCATTATAAATTAAATTCAGAAAAGGACTTTAACAAATAATTTATTATTTTACCCAAAATATACCTTTCATCTCTGCCCATACACTATATATATAATACTCACTCTTCTTGGGTTCTCTCAGAATCAAACCATCCTGTTTCTATTCTCTACTGATAATATTTTTTTTTCCTTAAAAGGTTATTTTTGTTTGAAAAATATAAGGATATGGTTTTGCCAACTTCAACACCGTTACAAACCACCGGAAAGAAGTCGAAAGCATCGCCGGAATATAACTTTCCGGTAATCGATTTCTCTACAAATGACAGGTCAAATCTATCGGAGAAGATCGTGAAAGCCTGCGAGGTTAACGGGTTTTTCAAGGTGATAAACCACGGAGTTAAACCGGAGATAATTTCGAGATTTGAGCATGAAGGCGAAGTATTTTTTAATAAACCGGAATCGGAGAAGCTACGAGCCGGTCCAGCGAGTCCATTCGGTTACGGATGCAAGAACATCGGTTTTAATGGCGATTTGGGTGAGATTGAGTATCTTCTTCTCCATGCAAATCCGACGTCTGTCGCTGATAAATCTGAAACTATCTCACATAATGATCCCTTCAAGTTCAGGTACGTATCACAAATCTTGTCTGTTCTTTGTGTTTATTGGTTTTGAACCTACTTTAATTAATCAAGCTAAAAAGATTTTTCTTTGACTTACTTATATTTATTTGGTTATCGAGCATATTTTACTTCTAGCTAGCCATTACAAGAAGAAAAACAAATACACTTTTTTTTTTTTTACACTTTTGCAGATATATTTTCTAATATTATAATGTGTTAATCCACATAAAAGCATAACATTCTAATTTTCTATCAATATTTATACACGCTAAACAAAATTAAACATAAACACATACTTTAATCTTTAAAACAAACAAGACCATAGTATGAATCTTCGATCACTGTTTTTGGTTAACTTTGCCGGTTTGCAATAAAAATTATGGGTATTTGTAATTAACTACGCCGGCATATGCATACACATTTCACTGAGTAAACAGGAGAAATTCGGATCTTAAGCGTATTGAACAAAAAGATGCATATAATGACATAACTCTAATGCATGAGAAAATTAACAACCATAGGTATGTGGAACTGGCAATACCTTTTGTTGCGTCTACAAATTTTATTTATTTCTAATATTTCATCCGTTTCTGTGTGTGTGTGTTTGAAAGTTGACCCAACTGAAATTGATGTGGATTGTGTGACAATGTGACTTGTGAGATACCTAAAACGAGAGTTGCAATGTCGAATAATGGATAATGACCATAAGACACGGCTTTTAATTATTATTAATAAAGTTGCCCGTATTATATATATTTTATATTTAATTTAGTACAAATATATAATCGTACCAACCTAATGCCGGTTCACCTGATAAATTGTTGTAATCATTAATCTACAATAGTTGGATTTGTTCTTGGTTCATAGTAAATTGGTATGTGGTTACTGGTTACAGTTAGGATGCCAGCCATTGTTTTCCTAGATTAAGCCAATTAAAATATCAAAATGTGATAGTGCTTTTGCAACCTTGACTGCGACATGTTGATTAATTATTTTTTTCCCCTAATTTGGTGACATAGTCCACCTTTTAAAATATATTTGACCAAATTCTAGGTGGGACTCGAACTTTAATTTATCGTTCATAGGCTCCAAGTTAATAGTATAGTTACACTTATTTTTAAAATATTTTAACAAAAAAACAATATTCTAAAAAACAGATTTACACACATACAAGTCACAAAGTATGTAAGACTTGGTCAATTAATGGAAGATCACCAAAGAATCAAAAGATCAAACGTCAATGAATCAAGATTTGACCTGCTTTTTTCCCTCTTTTGTTCAATTAAAAAAATGACAACTTGTAAAGCAATCTTGGGGTCCTCACGCTTTCGAACATTCTTCTGAACATAAATCTTAATTATGTCCTTTTTCTTTCTTTCTTCTTTTTGTTATGTGATCTACCAGGAAAAAAAAAACGAAAGATCTTGAACAAACAATTTGTCCCTCTGTCAATTGCTGAGAGTGTTGACTAAATGCCACGTGGTGTTTATCTTTTGTAGCTCGGCGACGAATGATTACATACGCGCCGTTAAAGATCTGGCATGTGAGATAATTGATCTGACGATCGAAAATTTGTTGGGCCAGAGATCTAACGAAGTGAGTGACCTGATCAGAGACGTCCGTAGTGACTCGATCCTACGCTTGAATCACTATCCACCTGCACCGTACGCTTTAAGAGGTGTTAGCCAAATAGGTTTCGGGGCGCATTCTGACCCTCAGATCTTGACGGTGCTAAGATCCAACGACGTAGATGGACTTGAGATCTGCTCACGTGACGGCTTGTGGGTCCCTGTCCCATCTGACCCTACATGCTTCTACGTTTTGGTCGGCGACTGCCTTCAGGTTAAACTTAATTAAACAGTTTTTTTTTTAAACTAATTTGGTCACAAATTTCAAATGTATTTCAAATTTTCAACAAGAATGAGGTCATTTTTTTTTTTCGACTGCCGTATTGTTTTCGTAAACTAAATATCACAAACTAGGTTCATATATTTGATTAACTAATAAATCTTTTGTTAATAGGCATTGACGAATGGGAGATTCACCAGCGTGAGGCACAGGGTATTGGCGAACACGGCAGGGAAGCCTCGGATGTCGGCGATGTATTTTGCAGCGCCGTCGTTGGAGACAAAAATATCACCGTGGCCGGAAATGGTGTCGCCGGAAAATCCACGACGGTATAATTCATTCACATGGGGTGACTACAAAAAAGCTACCTCCTCTCTCCGTTTAGATGTCCCTCGTCTCGAGTTCTTCAAGACTTCATAAATATTAATACAGTTTAAATTAGATGTTTCTTTTTTGTTGGAGAAAATATATACTATGATTGTTGACGTTATACAAAAGTACACCATGGGGAATGTATAGTTTTACATGATAAAGGAAACTAAAGTTTTTTTGTCGTTTATTCCCAATCTATAAGTTATCAATTTTATTTTATTTTTACTCAGTATCCCGAATAACATAATGCCGTCTTGTTCCACAGTACAATTTGTTGATTTCATTTTGGAAGAAACAAAAGTAATATTTATTTTGCATCATTTTCCTTAACTTCATAGTAAATATCAAGTGAAAATTCCCGTATACATTTTGTTGTCGAAAATATTTAAGAGTACATTATCTTAAAGTTTTATTTTCTCGATCGATCTACGAGTCAAGCATCACAACACATTTAAAAACGAGTTCCAATTCCTGATTACCGTTGCAAAAAAGAGCTTCTGAACGGTCAAAATCTAGACCATGAAACGCGTCCGATCACATTTGACTCTGGTCCCCATAACACACCTTCTTGTGATCATAATTACAAAAACTAAACTCTCTTGAAGCTCCAATGATGCAACTGTTACAGATATTTCATGTAAGATTGTGACTATAAGTCGATTGTTTGGGAGTAAACACTAAAAAATATTCAATCATATATCACATTATTTAACTAAAATTCATTAATTTAAAAGTTGTGTATTACGACGAACAAGGATGAAACAATATGATTGGATCCTAACTAGCTAGAAGTTTAAATCAATGGAACGATCGATCATTTCCCGGAAAAAAATAAAGAAAAAGTTGATAGAAGCAGCAAGAATATTACCGCCCATTTGTAACATAGAAGGATATTCTAGAATCCTAGGAACTAGTCTTGGCTTCGATCACGAATCATATTCAAAGAATCATGAAACAGATAACTCCAAGCGCAATCAGCTTCACGGTGGTGAAGCGTTCTCCAGCAGCCGCGGCTCCATAGTCATGGTCAACGGGGTACAAGTCTCCCGGGGGAATCGCGTACACGTAAGTAGTCGGAGGTGGCGGCGGTGGGAAGTAAGACTCCTTCGGCGATGGAGGGCAGTTGGAATTTTTTGGCGGCGGTGGCGGAGACGGCGGAGGAGGAGGAGAGTGACAAGAAGGAGGAGGCGGCGGATTTTTGAGACAAGGTGTGCACTTGATGGGATCCTCGTTGAGCTTTTCGACTGAAGAATCTGCGGCATTGATTACAATCGTAGATACGAGGAACACGACGGTCATGAGGAATGTGGCCGTGAGATTCATCAAAGGGAGCTTTTTCTCCGGCATCTCGTCGCAGGTAAGAGAGTTTTTGGACTTATGGAATGTATTTACAAATATGATCAAATTTGTGACAAAAAATGATCAAATTTATGGAATGTATTTACTGACGTACCGCGTGTAAAAATTTAACATAGCGAGAAGAATTCTTAATTTGGATCTAACCCAATAAATGAAAATATATTGTCCAATGATGTTGGAGATCTTGAAAATATTTGTAATTCAATGACAACAATTTCAAAAACATCCAAAATTGTAATTTTTTTTCATCTTGGGCCTTATTAGGCCATTTTCCCATAACCTGGACTTACAATTAAATTTCGGTTAAATGCTTGTGAATTAAAAAAAAAAAACATTAAAGAAAACCGACTATCTTTACCAGCATGACAAGTCGTTGTTTGACTTGTTGACTTTTTTTTTTGGGTGTAAAAATTGTTTTGTTTGGTTGGTTTCACTTTCATGTGACGTCTTTGATCTCTCTACTGCCGACGACACAAGAACGCCGTTCATTTACCGGTAAATCTTTTAGTATCTTCTCTTCTTTTTTCCTTCGAGAAATTTTCATACTTTGCTGCGTTACACTCTTTAACCAATCATATCATCGTTGTTGGCCTGGTCTGTGATTCGCTTACGATCGGCTATGGCCTCGCGCGATTATTGATGACGTTGGTGATTGGGAAAGGGGGGGGGGGATAAATGGGTTTAATTTTCCATGTATTGGCGTTCAAATTGATCGGAAATTTCTATTAACGTCTTCTGGGTTCGTGTTTCTTGTGTTGATAGTGCTTGTGTAGTGTCTCACTGTGTGGATCGATTGTGAAATCATTTCTCTTCGGCCATGTCGTGGTCGAAGGCATGTAAAGGGACTCTAATTTCTTCATACTTAGAGAAGCTTCATCGAACATCGCAATCTACAAGGTAAACGAAATTTCCCTGATTTGCACATTAACTGTTTGTTAAAATCCCTCAATGAAAATTCTATCCTTTTCGCACTAGTGATCAAGCTGAATGATTGAATAGGAATTAAGCTCGTGAGGGTTGCTGATGCGAATTCTTATGTAGGACTGTGCCTAGTGTTCTGTGCTCTCGTTATCACACTCATGGAGCATGTAAAGGCAACGGGCATAATCTTCCAAGCAAGAGAGGGCTTTGGGGAAGCTCATCTTCGTTTTTACCTTTGAGTTCTCACTCTGCTATTTCTAAATCGATGCTGCTTGGTGCTCATCGCCAGTACTCTACTCACTCTCCGACAGAAACCAAATCACAGAAGATGCTCTATTACCTCACCGCTGTTGTCTTTGGCATGGTGGGGCTAACTTACGCAGCTGTCCCATTGTATAGAACATTCTGCCAAGCTACTGGATATGGAGGTACTGTTCAACGCAAAGAGGTATATAATACTTTCACTTCTCTCCTCCGAGGTTTTCAATTATTCCTAGTCTCTTTCTTAATCGTTGCTCCACTGGTTTCTTTGGCCTTGTACTACAGACTGTCGAGGAGAAGATTGCTAGACATTCAGAATCTGGTACCGTCACTGAAAGGTGTGTATTCCTCTGTCTCTTAACACCATTCATATCCGTCATTTTTTTATATTTTAATATGTGTTTATGGTGAACTTGCTTGTTTACAATACACCCTACAATATTTGTCCCGTTTCAGGGAGATTGTCGTGCAGTTCAATGCTGATGTTGCAGATGGGATGCAGTGGAAGTTCACTCCAACTCAAAGAGAGGTTCAGACTTTACAAGTTTCGAAGAATGTTGTGACTTGTTAATGTGCTATTCTTTTTGTAACTGATATTTCATTGGTTTTGATATGTTCTTGTAGGTGAGAGTAAAGCCAGGAGAAAGCGCGCTGGCCTTTTACACTGCTGAAAACAAAAGTTCAGCTCCAATAACTGGAGTATCCACGTACAATGTCACTCCCATGAAGGTACATAAATTTGCCGCAGTATTGCCCTATCAACTTCCCTTAGAACGTATTTTGTACCATTTTTCTTATTGTTTATCAGGCAGGAGTTTATTTCAACAAGATACAGTGCTTTTGCTTTGAGGAACAGCGACTTCTTCCGGGAGAACAGATCGACATGCCGGTGACTAGCCTTTTGTCCTTGGTTCTGTTTAATGATACTAAAATTAAGAGCCTACTGAAACCTTTTTGTTTTTACTTGGTTTTCCAGGTCTTCTTCTACATTGATCCTGAGTTTGAGACTGATCCAAGAATGGACGGAATCAACAACTTGATATTGTCTTACACTTTCTTCAAAGTGTCCGAGGAAAATACTACAGATACAGTCAGTGATATCACCTCTGTTCCGGTTCAAGAAACCAATTAAAAACTATCCAATTTTTTGTTTTTGTTGACGAAGAAACTGCCATTAGTTTTAATAATTGATTTCTATATTTGGGAAAACTGTTTGTTATTATTTGTTCAGAACCCATGGAAACAAAAAAAATGGAATGTTTAAATTGATTTTGGTAGCTTCTTTGTTTTTGTTGAATTTATAGAGATGCATATATTGGATGTGACTTGTGAGTTTTGTTCTTTAGTTACGTTAAGGAAACATGAAATTTTTTTTTAGGTCAAGAGGAAACATGAATTTTAATCGAATCAAATCGGCGCTTGTAGCCTGAAGGAGTGTAACCAGTTGTTGGAATCATTGTATAGGTTTATACCATTATATGTAACGAAAAGTGATCATAACAAAAAGACAGAGAATGGAAAGAAAAACCAACTTGTATGAAGGAAATGTAATAAGAAGTGAAACAGAGAACAGTCGTCAAAGTTTTATAATCTTGATGAGAACTTGTCAAGCTATAATTATGTAAAACATAGTTTAGTGCTATGCTATGAGAGTGAGAAGCAAGAGAAGAAGAATCTCTTTACGAGAAAATCTATGAACACAAACGGAGAAACTTTAGCAGATTTGGACAAAGGCAACTCCAGATTCTTGACCCGTTCCTCGAGATGTTGGACCCAAGATCCATCAGAAAGCGCTTTATTCCTCTCCAAGGAAATCTCCTCAAGCTTTGACTTCAACCAGTCGAGCCTGAAGCCTGATTCCGTAAGCTCAGTCAATTCGCTTTGAGCATTGCTTAGTTCAGTCATAGATAGCATCTGTGGAGACTTGCTCAGTGTCTCGATGAGGCCGAGGAGGAGATTCATGTACGCTGTTTTCACCCCTTGGTTCTTTGGTTTGACATCTACTGCCAAGTCGGGGTGCTCTATAAACATATCCGCCACTGAAGCAGCCTACCAACAAAAACAAAAAAAAAAGAAAAGAAAAAATGGCTTTAGGATGCTTAACCAGGCTGGTGTTTATTAATGGGTTTTAAAGAAGAAAAACGAAACCGGTGTGGCTCCTCCTTAGCTTACTTGAGAAGAAGTGATATGGAAACCTTGGAATTCTAACGTATCAGACTCGGTTGATTTTCCATGATGAACAACTTCAACTACATTGATGTAGACTTCGATGGTTAGTTTGTTCTTCTCTAGAAACCCTTTTTCTTCAAGCTTGGTAAGAGGCAACATCTTAGAGTAACCCCAGCTTGGGGCCTCAGCGCAGAACAATCTGCAACTGCATTGGTCTGTAAGATAAAAAAAAAAAAAAAAAAAAAAAAACAGATAAATCAGCTTTTCTTTATTCATCAATCAGGTTACACAAATGGAACAAAATCAAGCTGCTCAAAACCAGGTGATCTGTAGAGCTCTTTGCCAGATTCATTCAACAAAACAAAGCGAAACCAGGCTCTCCTTTTCCATCCACGTCTCAAAAAGTAAAGATTCGCATCCTCCAGGAACAGGGACACGTGATCATCATCAAGTTTTCCCTTGGGATTAACCGTAACAAGCCTAAGAGAAAACACTCAGATTTTTAGTTCTAGAAATCCAAGTATAGACAGCAAACTCGCCTAAGAAAGCTAAAGATCATTGAATTTTTCTTTCTCTGATTTTACCATTTGCAGCCGCCGCTTGAGAAGGGAGGCGACTGGATATTACCGATCTTTTTCGAGAAGTTTTTGATATCCCAACTCAATGCCTTTCTCATTTCCGGGGTTGTTTTGCGTAATGGTCGAGAAACAAAAAAACTTTACAGCTCCTCGGGCCAAAATGACGAATGATGTTAATTTTAAGTAGCAGCCAAAATAAGTTAAACCTCAAACATGAACAAAAAAAAAAAACCTTTAGGAGTTTCCACCTTTGTTCACAAATTTAGAATCATTATCTTTTGTAATCTTGGCAGTAACGAAAAAGAAGAATACATGTACAAGAAAAACATAAAAGTAAATATCAGTTTTTTACGCTCAACCATATTTTTAAAATATAATCTTGACCACGGTATTAGTACCATACTCCAACCAACCAGAAAGTTTTTCAATTTCAATTTCTAGGACCTAGCAAATCTATGTTTTGGGTATTAAGGATTCAAGCGACCAACCAAATCTATGATTATATTGCAAAACGGAAACCCATAATTCTAGAAGAGTAATAAGAGGGAGAGTGGATAATCAATAACATGTCGACAGTTCCAGATCAGACAACAATATATATCTTTATATAACAAAGTCAATAGAAATTAGATAACAAAGGGAACTTCGACTTACCTACGATGAGGTCGAAGCCGTGACAACAGTTTCTATGTTACAAAGTGAACGGCGATTCAATTTAGGAAGAGAGAACCTTTTCGCTGAATAAGTAAGAAAACGAAAAAAAAAAACAAACAAAATAGACTGTTCTCTTCTCTCTGATCAATCTTGACCATCCGTTGCATTTAAACATTGTTTTCAACCGTCGGATTTTTAAATTGTTAGTCCTATAAATCAGTATGCTGACGCAAACCCTTAGATATGATTTTACATTATTTTTTCATCACTGAGTTAAAAAAGTCAAAAGTAGGTTTCTTCCTGATCAATCTTGACCATCCGTAGAAAAGTAATCTCAACCGTCAGATTTAACTTTTTCCTTTTCCTTATAAAAGAATGTTAACATCAGCAATCGTTAAACTTGTTAACCCACGGAACAGAGAAAAAGAAAAGTGGAATGTTGGTAATTTAAATTTGCTAGAAACTCCTATCTTTACTTTCGTCCAATTTAGGTATCAGTGATACGCATGTTGTTAGTTATGTGCTCGAGTTATATATTTAAGGAAACATGAAATTTTATTGCTCGAATTAATGATGTGAACTACTCTACAACGATGGGAAAAGAAGAACAGAGAAGTACATTCGAAAACTCTTAAAGAAGAAGTACATTCGAAAACTGTAAAGAAGTTAAAATCTCAAAGCAAAATAGCGAAGGAATGGTTTAGTGATGGGGTTGGGGCATGAAGGAGTGTAACCAGTTGTTGAGGCGGTCCATAGCTGAAAAGTCCATCTTCTTGGACCCACCACGACTCGAAGCTTAAGGCCAGCCTCGCAATGGCCCGAGTGTGAGGTTATGAAATAATGAACACCTGGTTCGGTGAGCCTAACGAGGTCGTGTCCTGTCTTGTGCACGGCTACAGGAGAAAAAGGTTGGCAGGCTAAGAATTCAAGATCACCGCTGATTTCATAGACGTCGTTGATTTCGTTTTCGTATTCGAAAAACAGAACATCTCCAACATGAAACTCTTTCTCCTCACTCCACTTGTTGAAGAAGTCACTGTCATAGACGCTCCATCCTTTTGAGTCTCCGACCTTGTACATCTTTCCTACAGGAAGCATCTAGCTCGGAACGGGAGTACTTGACAGATCTTGGACGACAACAACTTCGAACCTCTGCCCCGATACGCATTGAGGTTGGTTTGAGCTGATGAAGTAGTAAGAACCTGGTTCCGTGAGAGTCACGACATCGTGTCCTGTGTTGTAGACGGCTTTAGGAGAAGAAGAATCGCAGAATTCGTATTCCAAAGAGCCAGAGACTTGAGTGACGTCGTTGATGCTGGGATCGTATTCGAAGATCAGAGAATCTCCCACGTGGTATTCCTTATGAACGCCCCCGAACCAGTCGTTAAAGGTGTCGTCCTTGGCAGTCTTGGTTGTCCATCCCTCCGAGCCTCCGACTTTGAAGACCGTCGCTGAGCAGCAACTCAAGAGATAAATCATCACAAACATGACCAAGCACAAGATTCTCCCTGTTGTTTTCGCCATTATCGATAACAAGAATGATCACCAAAGATATTTCGAACAAGAAAGGAAGATTCAGGAAGCAGATCTTGAACTCGCTGAATCAGAAAGCGTTGATGAGTGTTTTGATTGTGATTTATGATACAAAGAGAAGTACCCTATCCCTCCTTTTATAATGTTTTACGAAACCTAATCCGTGTCCTTTATTTCCTCTTTTTAATTATAATTTCTTTTTTTTCCTAAGCTTTTTTGCAGAATAACAACGGAATTTCCTTTTCTTCACAGATTTTCTTGTTTTCGTAGTCACTACTTTGTTTGTTTGATATAAACCATTTAACTTGTATGCGTAATTTGTTGTTTCCTGTATTTCTTAGAGAATAAAGGAGTTTTCTTCGTCATTTATTTCCTTTTTTAATTATAATTTCCTTTTTTCCTAAGTTTCTTAGAGAAACTCTATCTTTGTTAGATATGATTTGGTTCAAATCATCTCCAAACCGAGCGAGTAAATATTTTCGGTATGATTTCGGTCTGATGTGGCTTTAGGATCGTCCCGGCTTTTGGGTCTCTCTCCCTCTCTCTCTCTCTCTCTCTCTCTCTCTCTCTCTCTCTCTCTAACCTAAAGAGTCCAAACGCAGTATTGTTCTGGTTTGTGAATAGTCTTCTGATACAGAGCTTCGGTTACCGGCAATCTGAGTTTCTTCTCCTATTTTGAGCCAAGTTCAGGTCTTTGTAAACGGTATTCGACGAATCTCACTGCTGAAATGAGGATGATACTCAAGCCGTTATCTTCTCAGTGCGTTTCTCGCTTTTCCAACCTCCGGCTCTCTGCATCGTTTCTCCACAGCGTGGCGATATCTTCGAATGAGAAGCTTCCTGCAGAGGAAGCCGATGACGCGGAAACTGTTTTCCGAATGATCAATGGATCAAATCTGCAAGGAGAACTCAAGGAATCGTTGAGCTCTAGTGGAATCCACTTGTCCAAGGATTTAATCGAAAGGGTTTTGAAGAGGGTGAGGTTTAGTCACGGAAACCCTCTGCAAGCCTTGGAATTTTACAGGTACGCTGGTGCTAGAAGAGGGTTTTATCATTCGGCGTTTTCTCTAGACACAATGCTCTATATCCTCGGTAGAAACCGAAAGTTCGATCAGATTTGGGAGATTTTGATTGAAGCTAAGAGAAAGGACCGGTCTTTGATATCGCCGAGGACGATGCAAGTGGTTTTAGGTAGAGTAGCTAAGTTGTGTTCCGTTAGACAAACAGTCGAATCTTTCTGGAAGTTTAAGAGATTGGTTCCTGATTTCTTCGACACTGCTTGTTTCAATGCTCTCTTGAGAACTCTTTGCCAAGAGAAGAGTATGACCGATGCTAGAAATGCGTATCATACCTTGAAGCATCAGTTTCAGCCCGATTTGCAGACTTTTAACATACTTTTATCTGGTTGGAGATCGTCGGAAGAAGCTGAAGCTTTCTTTGAGGAAATGAGAGAAAAGGGGCTAAAACCCGATGTGGTTACGTACAACTCTTTGATTGATGTGTATTGCAAGGACAGAGAGATGGAGAAAGCTTATAGGTTGATAGATAAGATGCGGGAGGAGGATGAAACTCCAGATGTTATAACTTACACGACCGTTATAGGCGGGTTGGGGTTAATCGGACAGCCTGATAAAGCTAGAGATGTTTTAAAGGAAATGAAAGAGTATGGATGTTATCCTGATGTTCCGGCTTACAATGCTGCTATCAGGAATTACTGCATAGCGAGGAGGCTAGGGGATGCTGATATGTTGGTGGATGAGATGGTGAAGAAGGGTTTGACTCCGAACGCGACCACTTATAATCTGTTTTTCCGTGTTCTATCTTTGGCGAATGATTTGGGACGGTCTTGGGAGCTGTATGAGAGAATGTTGGCGAATGGGTGTTTGCCGAATACTCAGTCTTGTATGTTCTTGATTAAGATGTTTAAGAGACACGAGAAAGTGGATATGGCGATGCGGTTGTGGGAAGATATGGTGGTGAAAGGCTTCGGTTCATATAGTTTGGTTTCTGATGTCCTTTTGGATTTGCTTTGTGATTTGGCTAAAGTCGACGAAGCTGAGAAATGTCTGCTGCAGATGGTTGAGAAGGGGCATAGACCGAGTAACGTCTCTTTTAAAAGGATTAAGTTGTTGATGGAGCTAGCAAATAAGCACGAAGAGCTTGATAACTTGAAGCAGAAGATGGCTATTTTCGGTACAGAGATTCCTCGTTGAAAAAATGTTACATTCTCCCAGCATTTTTCAAGAGCCAGTCAAGTCCTTCGTGTAAACCGGCACCACATAGTGCACATGAGCTTTGAACATGCCTAGACAAACCCAAAATTGAAAACACGATATCATCAGATTAGGCCAAGGATTGGAGGAGTCCTAAAAAAGATTAACTTTTTACCAGTTTCTTTGCCAGTTTCTTTGACGAAGAGAAGCAAGATCAAGTTTGTTACTGATCTCAGAAGCAGACATAGCACCAGGAACCTCAGACTTGTTCCCATATACAAGAACAGCCACATTGTCCGGTACACTCCCTCGTATCTATTACATATGGCATCAAAACGTTAGATTATATGACTTGCTCGATGTTTTGAAGACATGTTGTTTGTTACCTCATCAATCACCATGTTAAGAAAATCCTTAGCCTCTTCAATTCGATCTCTGTCTGTGCTATCTACTACAAGTACAAGCCCTGATACTTCTTGGAAGTAATGTCTCCATAGTGGAAGCAACTGTAATATGTTTTTTAGAATAAACCCATCATCATCAAGTTATGATCTTAATGCTTCTAAAGTTAACAACTTTCAACTACATTGTAACGTTGTTGGCCGCTAATTTCCCAAAAGACTAAGGTTGAATCCTTGTATTTTAACCTTTCCACATCGAATCCTAAAAGCAATGATCCACTTTTGAAGAATTCACAGAGAACAGTGGATTGAAATTAGATGAAGTGATGATGATTGTTTTAGTTGATTGCTTTACATACCAATGGTGGGCATGTTTGTGGTATCTCCGGTTTTGAGTTTGTGCATTATTGATGATTTTCCGGTAGCATCCAGACCAAACAAGACAATTTTCGGTTCGTTATCTTTGAAAAAAACTGGCGAATGGCTTTCCCAGAGTCGTCCCCATTTTTCTTGAATCAGTAACGAGAGGAAATATAAAATTGGACGAATCTCAGAATCGACTTTAGTGCAAAAAGCTTTGAGATTTTTTTTTGTTTTGTTTAGCAAGCTTTGGATTAACAGAGAGAGTCAATCTTGTCTTCTCTGATTAAGAGATGTGTAGTCTGTTTCAAGATCCGAGGAATAACGATAAAAGTCAACGAATTGACTTCTGGCTGTTCAATGGCACAAGTCCTCGTCTGCATACTGAAAAATTGATCTACACACTGAAATTATACAAATTATTTTGAACTCACTTAGATCTGGAGGAACTTCCAAATTGACCTTTCATGATTCTTTAAACTTAAGATCAGGTAAGTTTTTATTTTTATATTGATCGGAGACACGTTTGGATTCAATGAAAGATTCATTAGTTTAATCTCAAACTCCTAAGTGAAAGTGAATAGTTAAAAATAAGATTAATTTACTACAATGCAAGATTAAGATCTAAACCCTTCTCTTCTTCTCCTTCCTTCTTCTCTGCTTCTTCTTCTTCCTCTTCTTTCACCTTTGTATTCTCTTCCTTTTGAACCGAAACAGCCATCAATGGCTTCAAGTCCGTACGACACTGAGAGAAATCCTCCAGCTGAAACGCCGGAACAACGACACCGGACCTCTCTCCACCGTTGGATTTCTTCCTCGCGTCGCCGGAATTCTCAGTTAACTCTTCTCGTCTTCGTTTCCGAGCTTCCTGATAAGTTTTGATAAGCTTAAAGAATGTATCGATCTTCTTGTCTTCTTCATCTTCGTCTTCTCGTTCTCTCTCAACGATCATGTTCTTGATCTCCACATTTTGGTCCTTGTTCCTCATGGTCTTTATGGCATTAGAGGGGTAATCGTGTAAATTAAATTGTTTGGGATACATTTAGGAAGTGAAAAAAAAATGATCCTCGAGAGTGAGTAAGGCAAATATCCTTATTCGTCTGATGATTTTCTTTTATAAGGAGAATTTAGACGTCACGAAACTTCTCCTCAAATGACAAAAAACACCCTGTCCCCAGCCAGCTCATTTAGTCTTTCTCAGTACTGGTCTTTCTTTACTTTTTCCTTCTTCTTTAACAATTTACTTAAAATCAGAATATAAAATCTTCGTTCGCTGGATTATTTCGATTATGAAAGTTTCCACAGATAAATCTCCAAGTTTAAGGCAAGAATTTTTTTTATCATCTATATTGATTTTAATAATTTTATGATTTTATAAAAAATCTCATTGAAAAACCCATGACATATTTCTTAAACTATGAATTTGGCTATTGATATATTTATCAAAAAACAAAAAAAAAATCACTTCAAACGCTTCAAAATCATAGAATATGCCTAAATATTTTCAAAAACATAATATTTTAAGATATTCTCTTAAAAGTTTCAGTTAGGTAGTAGTAGATTTTAAATTGATTTTGAAGAAATTTAATAAGAAAAAAAACTTCAAAATAAAGCGACCATACCAAGGGCACAAAAGTAAAAGAATACGGAGATACCAACGTTACGATTGCGTCAGACGATGGTTTTTGGATAAAACGACATGAAGCAGTTACGAGATTACGTCATTGCGATGACGTAATCTTGACACATTCTCTACATGGGAAATAAAAATGTTGAAGAAATAACAAAGACCCATCATGAAAATTGAAAAGCTTGACTTGATGCGTTTACTTTACTCATGGTAGGTCGCGAAATAAGAGAGATTCATCGATTTTACAGTATTCTTTACTCTGAACCGTTAGATCAACTTTCCTGGAACCTATTTTCTTAATCTAATGATTGAGAGTAAGAATTTCATAAAATATACTTGTCGTACTAAAATCTGTTCAAATTATGAGATTTTACAAAGATATATGTCAAATCAAATTATATATCTTGTCGGCCACTTGTAAGTAAACAAGTAAAACATCCATATAAAGAAAAATTCTTCTCGGCTTTGTTCTTTCATAATGAACCGTAATTATATCGTCTTTGTTTTTCCACAGTTGATTGTTTTTGGGGTCAAAGTTTCGGCTTTGTTCTTCAATAATGAACCGTAATTATATCATCTTTGTTTTTCCACAGTTGATTGTTTTTGGGGTCAAAGTTTTATAATGTATTTGCTAAAAACAAAACTATTCTCGACATGAAGAAGAAACAAAACAACAACTATTCTTCGTGCGCATAAGTTAAAGGGTTCAGAATTTAAGCTTGTGACACCAAAAAAAAAAGTTAAAGGGTTCAATGTTTGATGATTGTATCTATGAAATGTGATTTTTTTTTTTTTTTTGACATCCTATGAAATGTGATTTGCAAATAAAAAAGGAAGAGACTCAATGTATTTTCTTTTTCCTTCTCGACAGTATATTCAAAGGACATATTCGAGAAATCCAAGGCCCTGATTGTTCTCATAGAGAAAGGCCCATTATATTATTGGCCCGAAGGGTCTGAAGAACTTCTGAAATTTGTTTGTTGTGGTAAAGATTTGTTAAACAATTTCTCTTGTTGGGAGAAACAACACTCCTACTCTCTGGCCTGGTCATCCTCCTCTTATTTCCTGCTCAGTCTCGTTCTCTCCCTCTAACTTGTCTTTACTACCTCATCATATTCACCTTACACCTTACTCTTCAGTTGTTTTTTGAATCCTTTGGTATATAATAATTATAGTTAATAAGTAATATAAAGCAAGTTTTTCTAAAAGGAATACGTGGAAAAACAAAGGAAATCTTTGATTTTGTCAGACAGATAGAGAGTAAAAATTAATTTACAAAATATAAAAAAGAATGTTATATATATAGTACTCAATTGAGAATAATGGGAATGGTGTTCATGACAAGACTCACTTGCTATTTCACTGCCAGTCTGCGACTTTGTAAGAGTGTCGTGTGACTAGGCTTTTAAGGTCTAAGGCATCCTTAATCCTCTCTTCTCATTATTGCATCCTTAATTCACTTTTATGTAAATATTCTTTTTTCTTTCATAATTACAAAATACACAACACAAAGCATGTATTAGATATTTATATGTAAAAAAAGGCATGTATTATATGTATATATATTTACCATGTTGGTGCATGTAAAGAGGAGAATGAGTTAAAAAGATAATTCGAATTTTGATGCATGGAGCTAGTTAATATTGGTCTAATAAACATATTTTGAAGGTCTGCATGGACGTATATTTTTTAGAGTTGTTGATTTTTAAGTTTTTTTTTAGTTTTTGTTTTTTGAGAAAATCCAAAGTTAGGAAACTTGAGGCAAATAATTTGGGAGGATTCATTGACATAGTAGGGAGGATTCATTGACATATTAGGGAGTCAAATTGATACGCTTCGTCTCACTAGAATTGGGAATGGTCTAATTGAAAGGTATGAGTGTGATGGACATAGAGTCATAGATAAAGAGACAATGCAGAAAAGCGAGAAGGAGAATCTTTATATTTTATGAGTTAACCAAGAAAACAAGGCTATGATTTGTCCACTCACTTGTTTCATTTGGTTGCTTTCACCATGATTGGTTATCTTCAGTAACCTTTCTGATGATTAAAAACAATTCAGCGACTGATATATATGCTTAATTAATCTCGATTTGCAACACCATATCCTAATTTTGGATAATCCTATTTATGTTCTGTATATCAACGAAATTGTATTGTTATGACTTATGACACTAATTATTTTAAAATAGTGGCTTGCGATTCATCAACTGTATGTACTAATATTTTGCTGTAGTTATAAATTAAATAAGTGTATAGTTATAAATTAGATGTTAAATATGTTAAACTGGGATTACGTGGTCACACCGAAAAAGGGGAGAATCGGAGGTGGGTGTGTCTAACATTCCATTTGCGACCCACCAAACTTCTCCATTTGTTATAAATTATGATCTTTTAACCTAAATTAAAAATATATAGATATATTATATTTTGGGTGTCTTGTTTTAAAGAAATTCAAAAATTACAAAAATGAGAGTCAGAACTTAGAATCTTCGAGTGGCCTTGTAAGCTTTTCCAGTTTTCCTTAACCTCAAAAAGATAGTAAAATATTTGTTATGTTGTATAATTGCATACATATACATATGTATATACATACTGTATACGCGTGATTCATCTCCATAATTACAATTTACATCTTCATGTCTAAGTTACCAAGAACATGCATATTTAAGTGAAAACTGGAGAGAGCTATATTTATTAGTTTATTACTATATTGAAGATTATAAAAAACACAGATAATATTATGACTTTACTTATCTAATCTTGAAAGTAAAATTTAAAATTTTCTAACCCATGCGTTGATTTACATATTAAATTATAAATTTGAGTTTAAGTTGTCTCAAAAGTTTTTCTCCAACACACATTTAAGTTGTCTGGTACCATATCAAATTATAAAATATAAACTGATATCACCAGCTCTAGCAATTAATAGTAGGTTGTATGGCTATGCATGCATATATTTATATTAATGTATAACTGAAGATATATGTGACAGCTTAGTGGCTGCGCGTGCAGAGGTGAACCAGGTAAGCTTTAAACAAGTTGTTCCTACTATATCAAGTTTACAAAGAGTCTTTAACGAAAAAAAAAGCTTTAGAATCCCTAAAGTGAAAAGCAACTCGACGTTGAATAACTAATCGTCGAAGGAAAATTCGTTGGAAAAGTGAAAAGAAATAAAGTTTTCTGGTTAAAAAGATTGTCTGGTTAAAAGGGGAAATTGGCAGGTTATCATGTAATTTACGAATATTCCTGAATTTTGTTTCAGTTTTTGTCTTGATAATTCGTTCTATTTGGTCCATCTTTTTACATTGAAACATTTAATTTAATTTCTTGTTACAAGCTTGCCGTGCAAAGGTTTATAAGGGCTTAAGGCAAACTTGAAAAATTGGGCTTTTTTCGTTAAAAAAAAAAATAAAGATTTTTAACAAAAAAATATAATATAATTTAAAATCATATAAAATATTCAAAAATAAAATCAATCTAAAAAAACTAATTAAAACATAATTTTTCTTCCTTCTTTTTCAAAAAACTCTTTCACCGAACTCTCATAATCGAAATCTCTAACTAGTTCTCTTCCTATAGATATGATAGTTAGGCCATTCAATTTTAAATCTATTTCTTTTTTTTTTCTCGTTTTATAAACAAAAATAAAAAACCATCTTATGTAAAAAAAACTCACACCAACTTTAAATCACTTAACCATCTTTTAAGAAAATGGAGGTCCTAAAAAATTTACATATATTGGAGGCTTGAAGAAAAACCTTTTTCACTACATGGTAAGCATGGCTCTGCAAGCTTTAATGATGAAAAACATGATTAAAGGTTTTGCTCACGGAAACTACATAAATTTTTTTTTTTTTTGAACTATACATAGATTTGGTTTAGTATATGATTATTCGATTTTAGTTTGCAGATGCGGAATTCTTTTTTTTTTTACGATATATGTTATGTTTGTTTACAAATGATCAATGAATCTTTATTCGGTTTATAAGTAATGATTCAACCGATCATTTTCAATGAAATATGTTAGCGTTAAATGTGAATCGAGTTTTGCTGGTCTCTGTAAATGACATAATACATAGCATATTTACTGAGATTAACATCTTTATTCTTTATCTAGTCAATATTACATCCTTGGTTATACTTATTTGCTTATATATATGTGCCTTATGATTTCCAGTTAAACAATGTGTACTTCGTATTTATAAAAGTTTGATATAAAAAATATTGCATAGCTTCAAGAATAATAATATAACCTAAATATAACTAAAAACTAAACAATGAAATAACACCATTTTTATATCATTATCTAAATAATTATTTGATTAATGATTAACTAGATACACGCATATTCTGGACTACGAAAGCAACACGACGAGAGATCGATGAACATATGTTTGAGTGCAATTAATGTAATATCTAAGCAATAAAACAGTTATATATTATTAG